CTTTCTTTCTTTCTTTCTTTCTTTCTTTCTTTCTTTCTTTCTTTCTTTCTTTCTTTCTTTCTTTCTTTCTTTCTTTCTTTCTTTCTCTCTCTCTCTCTCTCTCTCTCTTCTTTTCTCTCTCTTCCCCCCCCTTTTCTCCATCCTCTCTCCAGCTCCTGCCTAGGCGCTTCCTTGAGGCTCCGGAGAGAGAGAGAGAGGGACACATACACACACACACACATACGGGGGGAGCAGAGAAAAAGGAGCCCCCCCGGACCCGGCTCCCATCGGCGGAGTCCGGAGGCCAGCCCCGCATCGCCCGGAGGGAAGGCAAGGCAGCGGGAGGCGAGCCCTCCGGAACGCCGGCCGAAGGAAGGAATAACAACCCTCCGGATCGATCTCCCGCTTGCCTTTGATTTTGGGGTGCGGAGGGGGGAGGCCTTGAGGAGGAGGGGGCCCCCCTGCGCTGCCCCGTGAAGGAACGCCTGCGAGCCGGGGATCGGGGCCAGGGATTTTCCAGCTGAGCATGAAAAAGACTGGTCCAGCCCCAGACGCTGCTTCCTCCGGCGCCTCCTCCTCCTCCTCGTCTTCTTCTTCCTCCCCCCGCTCCTCGCCTGCGCCTGCAGCCGCCGCCGCCAAGCGCCCACTATGCGCCCGGGAGCCCGCGGAACCCCCCGCCCCGTTGCCTGCTGCCCAGCCGAATGAGAAGCGGCGCCCGCCGCCCGCTCGCCGCCCGAGAGGAGCGCTAACAGCCGGTAAGGAGAGAGGCATGCCCGCTTGGGAAGCCGTCCTTCCCCCCCTCCCCTGGTCTCTCTCTCTCTCTTTCTCTCTCTCCGCCCTCGGACTCTGGCGTGCCCTCCCGGATCGTCCTCGGAACAGCCCGCGGGGATTGCGCCGCCGGCGACCTTCGTGGTCTCACATTTGGGGCTAGCTTGGCCATCCGTGGCGGCGTTGACCCAGAAGGGCTGGGCTGGCTGGTCTGTCTGCCTGCTGGTCTCTTCAAAAAAAACCCCCCGCCCCCCAGAAATCCCACCGCTTACTCCCCAAACCATCATCCCCTTGGGTGCCTGCTCAGATCCCTCTCCTCCGGTCTGTCTCTCCATGCCCATCTAGTCTGTGTCTTTCCCTGTCTCTCTCCTTCGATCGCTCTCTCTCTCTCTCTCTCTCTCTCTCTCTCTCTCTCTCTCTCTCTCTCTCTCTCTCTCTCTCTCTCTCTCTCTCTCTCTCTCTCTCTCTCTCTCTCTCTCTCTCTCTCTCTCTCTCTCTCTCTCACACACACACACACACACACTTTTCCCTCTATCTAATCTTTAATCAAATATCATCTCTCTCTTTTTTTTTCTGGTGATTCAGCCCCCATCCACGTTGCTTTGCAGTCCGCCACCCCATTCCCTTCAGCAAGCAATGGGTTAAGTCCTAGGGGTGGGTTGTGTGTGTGTGTGTGTGTGTGTGTGTGTGTGTGAGAGAGAGAGAGAGAGAGAGAGAGAGAGAAAGAAAACACTATTTACCGCTAATGCTTTAACTGCAGCACTGCTGAGCTTCTGGGGTCCTGGGGCTATGGGGGGGGGAATGAAGGCTCTTCCACCCAGAGGGACTGGTGTGTGCCATGCAGAGATGAGACACACATACACACACACACACACACACACACACACAGAGGCTGTGGAGGGGTGCAGTACGTGTGTGTGCCTTGCACACAAACTGTGTGGAACTGCAGCTCTCCCCCCCCCCCTAGCTCTCTGGCTGGCTGGACACACTGATGTATCAGCATGCAGAGTGGGTATGTGAGGATGCAGTGCAGACACACTCCGTGGCATGTGTGTGTGTGTGTAAGTTCCCCCCCGCTTGTTTTCCGTGTCTCACGCATGCACAGGCATGCCCGACTTCCCTGCACACGCCTTGTGCGGTGAAGTCGGGCGGGGGGGTGGCGATCCCGACGTGCTCGGCTGGGGCCATGTTTGCAAAGGGTGTGTTTGATGGAGGGGAGGTGTGTGTGTGTGTGTGTGAACATGTGTGCATGGGGGTCGCGGAGCAGCGCTTCTGGTACAGCACCGTCAGGTGCCCACAGCAGAGCAAGAGGGCTGCAGTCTCTCCCCCCCCCTCGACCCAGACACAGAGCCCCCCCACTCCTCGCCTGAGAGAGGATGCTTATGCCAGGCTGCCTATTGATCTGATAAGGTCCAGGCAGGGGGAGAGAGCAAACCCCGCTGAGATTTACTTAATGGACTGCCTGCTCTGTTTCTGGAGGGACAACCCAGAAGGATGTGACATATGATCCTCTCAGGCTTGGTGGGATCTCTCTTTCCTCCCCCACCCCCCACCGGAGGTGTGTGGGAAGATGGAGAGTATAGCTCTGGAAAGTCCTGTAGCTACCATGTTATCCCCCCCCCCCAATCCATTTATCTATTTGGAGGCGACTTGGGGTTGAGTCAAGGCATCATCAGAGAAGAAGCCAGATCTGGAGTGAGCTTCAAGGAGGGTCGATGGGGCTTCCCTCCAGAGAGAGAGGGAGGGAGGAAAAACTTTATTTAGCACCTATTTTGGTGTCTTGCATGGACACAGGGAGGAGAGGCGCCCGTCTGTCATTTGCTGAAGGGACCAGATAAAAACCAGTGTGTAGGACAGGGTTCAGGGAATGAATGGGAATGATGATCTAGGACGATGGTGGTGGCGAATGCATGTTTGCGTGGAAGCCGGCTGGGCTTGGCGCTCCATCTCGGATACCTGCCCCGCTGGGTCAGGAAGGGGGTTGCTGTTTCAACACCTGGATGTCGGGACGTTTGTGTCCCTGGCTGGTAGCCGGAGGTGAGAAGGGCGGGCAAGGGTGCCCCATCTGGAGGAGCGGTTCTCTTTTGATGTGAGAGTTAGGGAGGCGCATCGTGGGTGCAAAAGCAGAGGGGATAAGCATAAGCGTGGGCAAGAAGACAGTAGGCGGATAGAAGCCCCCAGCTTTTGATAATCCTGGTTCAGCAGGGGAAAGCATGGCCTCGTACACACCGAAATGCACACATCTGCAGCCAACACATTTGCCTTCCTCTCTCACACACATCTGTTTCTTTCCGATGCGCCTACACACACATGCATGTGCTCAAGCGGAGGTACCCACATCCCCACTGCTTTGCAAATTCACTTTGGCATTCCCCTATTGGAGACTCTACACACACACACACACACACACACTGGCATTCCCCTATTGGAGACTACACACACACACACACAAACACACACACAGATCTTATTCACATAGTTCCTTCCTCTTCCAGTCTTGTACAATGTAGCGTTTGTCTCCATCGTACAACACAGCGCTCCCTCACTCCCTCTCGCTCTGTCTCTCTCCGTGACTTCCAGGGACACACACACACACACAGTTGTGACTGGACTCTGTTCTGCATGCGCCTACAGGCACTGCACACAGATAAACCCTTGCTTGTTTCACTCTGTCCCATGCGCTCCTTCACATTTTATTTGATAAGGTCTTTCATGCATTGGGCAATTCCTTCATGATAAGCAGCCTGGCGTCCTTGCTTATTCGGAAACAAGCTACGGTGTCTGGTAGTGTTTCAGTTGGAAAAAAAAACTCACATCCTCTCTCTGTTTCCCAGTCACACATGCGATGCTACACTCCAACACACCACCCTCTGTTTTTAACAAGCCACTGTTGCTTGGGCACACCGCCAAACTCACATGGCTTCTTTCCACACACATACAAATACATGAGTTCGCCTGAGTTTTTCCTTGGCTTTCCTTGAAGGTTATACGACGGTTTTCTTCACCCTTCGTCTACGATTTTCCTCCCAGGTCTCTCTCCGTCTCAGTTCCCCCTCCCTCCAGAAACACACACAACTGCCTCCATGCTTGTTGTTTTCTCTGTACAACAACACACACCCTGACCTCCATCGCCCCCCCCATTGCAAGCCTTAGCATGCTAAACACAACAAAGTGGTTAAAACATATATAATTTCTTAATTTTTTAGGAGGGTAGGTACTCTGTGGATGTAATCCTTCTGCTAGTCTTGTTCAAACACATCCACTGCAGGTATTCGCCTATATACGTGCACACCGTGGGGACCAAATCATTCTGTATAAATGAGATCTTCAGATACTCCCAGGTTCACTTCCACCTTTCCTTGCATCTCAAACCCTGCATCCTTTAGGGTGTTTTTCTCTTGTCATTGATCTGGGGTGGGAGGTTTGTCGGCTTTCTGGAGATCTGTTCCACTCAGCAAAAAAATGCTCTCCACGCACCTCCCGCCTCTATTATCTCCCTTCTCCCCTTTTTACAGGTTTTTTTTTTTTTGATCGATGGAATGGCAGAGTCTGGGATCAGCTGGAAAGAAGGGGGCAGGATAAATCAAAGTGTGGTGGGTCTACGGGGGGGGGGGGAGAAGCCTGAGGTTTATTTTCAGGGGTAGAGAAAGACATGGAGGTATCCTTGGCTATATCTTGGGATTGTAGCATGTGCGAGAAAGTGTCTCTCATGGGAGCGAGAACTGGGTGGGTCTCTCTCTCTCGGCCGTGGGCTTCCGTGTCCATGCAGTGGACCCCAGTCGGTCCATCTGGGGCATCCACCTGTATTTCTCAGACACTGTGGCTCTTTCTCTTTTTGCTGGTCCCGTTGGATGTGTGGGAGCGAGGCGGTGTTTATCGTGATAGGGACACAAGGAAACCTTCCGTGGGAGATCTGGAGGGGCCTGCTGAGGTGTTTCTGTGAGGAAGACGACATCAGTACATCTAGAAGTGTGTTAGAGGCTGAGAAAAAACAGCAGCTGAAATGTTGAACGTCTGGCGCGTCTACGAAGGGAGTTCTGCTTTTTCTGTGAGAGCCTCAGGGGAAAAGCGGATGAGGTTACATCCATGCGCTTGGACTTGGCTTGTGCATAGATGTGTGTGCATGAATCCCAATACTCAGTGAGCGTACCTACAACTCATCCAGAAACATCCACTGGTCTGTGTGGGGGGCTGTGATGGGCTCAGAACCGGAATACTCTGCCCCGGTCCATGCTCCTCGTGTTGCCTTCCCCTGGGCCCGGTGTGGAGACCACAGTCTCTCCTTAGGCAAGAATTTGGTGGAGCCAGATGGCAGCTCTGGTGAAATGTCTTCTTTGGAACAATAGCTGAAGGCAAGCAAGCTGGTCCCCCTAATCGAAGAGGGTGTAGGTGGCCGTTCTGTCCTTTTCTCCTACAGCCTTCTCGAGCGTTTAGTTTTCCCCTCCCATCTCTTCCCTGTTTCATACCATAGATGTGTGGGATCAGGAAAGGCAAGAACTAGGGTGTCTTTCTGGATGACCGTGGAGCACGTCTGCAGGCATCCAGAATCATCCTTTGGGGCTGAGTGGAGAAGCTGCAAAACCTTCCGCTTGGAATAAGGGAGATGTAGGTGAAGCACCGCCATCTGTGAGGACAGATTCTCTCTCTCTCTTTCTCTCTCTGTCTTTCTCTGTGTGTCTGTCCAGACTTTCACCCATAGCAGCTTGAAATATGTACTGCCTGCAGCCCGGATGGTTCAGCTACATCAGCGCTATTGCCAAGATATTGAGATCAAGGGAAATAATATTGGGACATACAGATAGATGGAGAGCAAGGTCTTGCACAGATGTAGAATGGATGCAGTGAGCTTTCTTCTACTAGATGAGATCTTTGGCCCATCTAGACTAGCATTATCCACTCTTGACAGCTGTCCAAGGTTCTGAATCTATCTTGGTCCTATCTGGTGGTCTTCTCTATTCATTAGGCCTGAACTTGCTTTGTTTGCAAG